ACAGGAAATGTTTTATGGGACGGAGGGAGTATTAAAATTTATTTTCAATTTAAAAGTATTAAAAAATAAGATGTGACAAAAATATTTTATTGTATAAAATTGTTAACCGTAACAATTAAACAAACATAAGTTATCGAGAGATTGAAATAATAACTATTGCATTCTTTCTGGAACGTAGGGAGGAATACTTTTGTAGATGGACCAACATATTTGTTGCGGGCAATTTTAGTGAAAGTCATCTCACCAATCACCATATATATTATATACCCCGAGTATAAGACTGTAAATTTTACATCAAGAAGGATTACATGGGCAAAATAATTTACACTATGTCATTTGGATTAATGTCACGACATTTATCTTATTATTCCATTCATGAAAAAATCCAAAAAAGAAAAAGGAGTGCAAGAGTTCATGCGCAGAACATTTGGACCAAGATGCTATAATGGACTGATGGACTTGAGCTAGTCATGAATTTCGTGGGCCACATACTACTTTTATAAATAAAATACCCTTTGCCTAAACTGAGAAAGGAATAAACGTTGCATGTATCCATGCTCCCTCCGTCCCACTTTAAATTACAATATTCCCTTTTAGTTGAAATTAAGGAAGAGTCAAATCAAATTTTTTTTCCCAAATTACCCCCCAGATCCCCCCAAATAGTGTGAATAGTGGCTGGCAGAAAAGAAAAGGGAGGATAAAAGAGTCAAATTACTATAAAGTTATTGACTTTGTAATTCTTTTTAAGACAAAAATGTGAGGAAATATTGTAATCTATTTCGGGACGGAGGGAGTATTTAATTTTTTTAAAAAAAGTTTAGAGTAATTATTTGAATTGGTTCTTTTCTTTTTTGTACACAATAATATTGTTCGGTAGGAATGTCCACTTTTGTCCGGGAAGGTTCTTTTCAATGTCCGAATCATGGGATGTTGTCATTTGTTGATAAGGAAAAAAAACTAATGGTAATACCCAGCAATAGTAATAGAATAATAATAGAACACTGATAAAATACTAATAATAATAAGAATAATAACTGTAAAGGTTTTTTGACCTTCGAATTTCGGATCATATTATGACCTAAGTACCTATGATGTTCTATTGGACAATTTGATGGTTTGTATAGCCCAAATTAAACTCCCCTGCACCTACGGACCTACCTCACCCTTTCACCTCCTAAATCATCGATTTAGCAGCTTAAATTGACAATTTAGAGGGGGGTAGGGAGATTTAAGAGGGGTTAGGTTGTAGGGGTAGGAACTATCAATTTACCAACACAGCAGTGCAAGTACTCTGGTCATAATTGTACCTGAAGTTAGAAGGTCAAAAGAATCATTTTATAATTCGATTAATAACAACTACCCGAAGTATGATAATAGCAACAATAGTAATAACAACAACAATAATAGTAATTGTAATAATAATAATAATAATAATAATAATAATAATAGTAATAACAACAATAATAGTAATAACAACAACAACAATAATAATAACAACAACAACAACAATAGAGTGTTGATATATCTACCCTCATTTTGGCTATATCTACTCCATTAATCTCAAAAATATCAAAGAGAATTTTGATACAAGGTCACTTTTAAGGATAAAATTGTCGATTTAATATAAAAAGAGTGAATATAGTCAAAATGAGGGTGGATATAGTAACACTCTGCTAAATATATTAATTATATTTACTATCTTTGTAATTATATATTGATGTAACCTCTACACAATTATTCAATGAAAATATTTCCTCTTCAGGGTATCGGAGCCACAAAACCCTAAACCCTAACCTCCTCAAACTCTCTCTCTCTCTCGGCCCTGCTCGCCGCCAGCCCCGCCTCCCCTCAGCGGCCTTCTCTCCCGGCGACGCTGCTTCCCTCCTGGCAGCCCTCTCTCCATGGCCGAAAATAGTGAGGTTATTTCCCAAAATATGTCCTCCAAAACCCCTCATCTTGCTCTCACAACTATCTCCAATGTGAGGTTGCATGTTCCCGTTCAACTCAGTCTCTCACAACCGAACTACAAAAAATGGAGTCGTCTGTTCCTCCTCCTCGTTCGGCGATTTAACCTTCAAGGATACCTCGATGGATCCGTCGCCCCCCTCTCTGACGACGATGACGAATGGTGCCAACTCGATGCCCTTCTCAAGGGTTGGATTCTCTCCACCATCACCGACGAAGTTTCAGATCTGATAATCTCTTCTCTCACCACTGCTTCTGCTCTCTGGAAGATCATCCATGACCTATTTCACGACAACAAACATGCCCGGGCCATGCAGTTGGAGCATGAATTTCGCACCACTGTTAAGGGCTCCACCTCCATGGCGGCCTATTGTCAACAACTCCAAAATCTTGCCGATTGGTTAGATGATGTCGATGCACCGGTCTCTCAGCACCAACTAGTCCTCCAGATGCTCCGAGGGCTTCCCGCAGATCTACAGGCTCAAACCTCGTTCATGCAGTTTCAGGATCCTATGCCGAATTTTTCTTCAGGTTCGATCGGCTCTCATGCTTTTGGATCACCAACGGTCAAACCCCGTTGACCCCGGCACCTCGGCCTTGCTCACTAACCGGGCCGGCAGCCAACTCCACGGCGGGACACACGGTGGCAGCAGCGGCTATGGTGGACCGCATGGCGGCAACAGCCACGATGAAGGGAACCCGGGACAGCGCGGAGGCTATGGACGTGGACAAGGACGTGGCGGTGGAAATCGGGGTCGTGGATGTGGACGTCAAAACGGCTCTAAGCAGCGACAAACCCATGACGGAAATACTACCTGGCACTCACCTCACCCAAACCCCACCCATGGCCTGCTAGGGCCACGGCCCAC